GGTCTCCATTCAAAGCTCCAAGATAAGTAGACTACCCCTCCCTGGTAAGAAAATGAAAAAAATCAGAATATGGGCTTTTGATTCCTTGAATTCCTGGTTAAGGTATTGCAGGCTTCCTTGCCGATTGCAACCCGAGCAGGGATTATGTGCTCAAAACTGCCGCCGAACGAAACTCGCAGCCGTTGCCTCAGATTCGCCACAACTTCGGCTTGAAACTTCCCAATGATAGGTCAGAACCTTTCTTATCAGTGAGATACCCGTTTTTTAGTTTTGTTCATTACAGGTTTTGCCTTCTGCAGCCGAATGTGGAATGGCGCGGTTCGGAACGATCCACTGCGGAATTGCTATCGAATAATACATCATTGACTGTGGGTCAACCTCCAGCTTCTACTGCTTATGCGGACGAAAGCCTCCAGCAACTTCGTCCCGAACATGTCACTAATATACTGAAGAGGCCAGCCGAAGATGATTTCGATGTGTGAATAGCTCTCCTTGGTCTTGGTGAAATTTCACGGAGTAAGTCTGTTTCGATGAATTAGATTTTTTCGATTTCATATAGTACACTATATTTTCAAAATGATCTCTTCGATTTTTTATGGTTTTATTTACCGTTGTTCTTTTCCTGTTGTCTTTTTGTAGGCGTGATTCACTCATTGTTCAAGTGTTCTTATGTGTGGGTTTTTTGTACAGTTGCTTACAGAATGGCAAAGAAATAACTTTGACTTTGCCTGCTTACAGCAAGTCTGAGTGTCCAGAAATGCCTTTCGCTGTCGCTATCGGTCATGAAAAGTGTTCGAACTTTTACATGGGTTCCTTGTGAATTGGTGAAATGCATGTGCAATACGTTGAAATTCGTCCGCTTATTCACACGGGACAGCCTTCCAGCCTTTATAACCCCTTTCTGTGCTGTTTACCGACCTGAAAGCGCCACATATTGTATACGAAGTGTCATAGATTTATCCTAACCGGATATCTTATGAAATTATTATCATGAACTGTGCCTTGAAGCGCTTCCTCAGATCTTCAGGTAGAAATTCGCGGAAAATGATAATTCGGACTTACCTCAAAAGCACTGCTGGTAATAAGACGACGTAGAGGTTTTAACTACAAATTTTTTTCGAGTAAACGTGTGGCGGTCCCCTAAAGACCCTTCAAGTTCCATACAGCAAAATCAAAAACGGGATTTTCGAGATCAGCAAGCAAATGTGTTGGTGATGAATTAATCTCTTCACGTGGACACACTCAGGATTAATTAGAAATGAGAAACGGATCATATTATTAGGATTACTTTCTACCGATTTTCACATTCAGTGGACTGCTTCTTGATCTCCAATTTGGAAACGGTTGCGGTTGAAAGAATTTTTGCTTAGTAACTTCGAGTCTTGTAGCTCTACGATTCCCATAAAAAGTTGCGTACATGCCTATTCACTAGTCATAAACAGCAATAAGTGCCCGACTGTAAAAAACAATCTCTTTATAAGTGAACGTCAATCTATCACAATGTAACAAACCCAAACATAAAGAAAAAGGCACAAAATGATACCCGAAACTCATACAATGCAATATATAATTGTCATGGCTCAAAATATTGACTGAGGTCGAATTAGTATGCGCGTAATCGCAGCGCATGCACATGGTCAACCAGTTATATGGATATAACAAAGGCTACCAGACAATCTCTCATCTACGATGCTACGTAAATACTATGTAGTCATAGAAATCTATTCAAAAATACAGTATAGAACAAATGCAGGGACGGGAAAAAACTGTTGGAGAGATAAATACATGCCCATTTGGATATTTAGAGGCTTCTTTGGTGAAATAGTTAGAATTCAAAATCTCTGTATTTTTCAAGGCGTTTACGTTCTTCTGCAGAAAGTTTATGCATAGCTATTCCTTTCCCATACACAGCAAACTCGAAAGGCCTGAAATGAGAACTTCCCGAACTCAGAAGCATGAGTAATTGTCCGTTTCTAAAGAGACAAGTTGCTGGAGGGTTCTGAGAGGTTACTGTATCACATGTTCACGTTAACTTGTTTATACCTACAACGAGAAGCCGACCTCATCGCGACCGCGCGATAGTGGTAAATTAGTGCTCGGGTGCTTAGGTGGCACAGTGAAGTGGATTATACCAAACATTTAAAACCAGCAGAATCTGAACTTGAAAGAAGTGAAAAAATTGGAAAGTTGGGTCAGCGTGAACCCTATGGATAAAAGGATAAAGTATCAAGTTTTTAGCGTTAATCAATCCCGTTTGAAGAATGCGGCCCAACACTTGACTTCTATTCAGAATCGTAGTGGCGACTGAATGCGTATGTGGTCTATGCAATGACTTACGCTGGCCAGCCGATGTACAAGTCAGTGCTTTTATCCTCCCAGATGAGTCTGGTACCATTTAACCGACCCCGGAGGAATGGAAGGCTCCGTTGGCCTAGGCGGAGATCGATCCGGGATTCGAATCCCTGACCGGGCGTGTGAGATGGTGCGCCAGAAATTTGGAGGGTTGAGAATAATAGAGATGGGAGTATGAAGAATGAATCTCACCTCGAGTCGAGCATCTCAAACGATCGTGGACAGGCCATCTCATGTTCAGTAGCCAGAACAAAGATGAGCTTAAAAATATCGTTAGGGCTAGAGTAATCACTGATCGTCTTTGCCTGATTATCCTACCTCAACCAGTTTGCCCGCCTCGATCAGTGCCGAATGAATGAATATGAAGGAACCGGCCATAGATAGTACAAACAGCCGATCACCGGATGATAATGGATCGACACGGGCTCGAAGCACTAGAACTGGTTACATTACCTCCACAGTATTTAGAAGGTTCAGTTTTATTTGATTGCACTCTTTTATTGTTTACTCGAAAGCACTGTACACGAAAACTTCTTAGCATTTCGCTAACGGGAAAGGAAATTCGGTATGAAGGGTGACGTTTTTGCTGTGAAATGCTCTCTCGAAATCGAGCAATAAAATTTCGAGGATTACTGACCCCATCAGCGTTGAGGTAGGCACGTTAACCGTTTTTTTTTTCGTTTATCTGACAAAAAGTGGCAAAAACCCGCAAAAATCGGCGTTTTTA